CGCCGTAAAGTACACGTGCGACTGCCTCAAAGCAAACAGTGCAGAATATTGTAATGGCGACTGGTGAATTCTCCCTTAACAACACTGAATAAAAATTTGTGGAGCTCTTCGGAAACCAACTTCTGATTAATTTCAAAGGTTTAATTAGTCTAAAAATAACTTTGGCTAGGCTGTGTTCCATCATTTTCTCTTGTTGGTGTTTATTTATGATTCTATGAATTTAGTTTCCCCACGAAAAGATGGAGAACCAAGTTTAGAGCAGCTGATGAAATCCCTGAAATCAAACATCGACAGCAGACGAGGAAAGAATGTAGACATTCTACTCATAAGCGAAGAGGTAAAGTTAATTATATTATGCCTTTTTTAGCCTTTTTACTTTCCAAGAGTTTCTACTTGTGGAAGTAATGAAAATTAAAGGGTTATGTTTTGTTAAATGCTGCGAAAATTCAAGTGAGACAAAAGAAAACTTCCCAGTAGTTATTACTCTGTAGGATTTCATCCACAGCCTCAAAGTTTCTAACAAACAGCGTGAAAGTTTCAAGGCTAAAGCTCCGCCGAACCATATCCAAAGTAGATCAACTGCTTTGTTGCTTTGTAACTGTGAAGTCGTTTTACCTTATATAGATAAATAAATAAATAAAATAATAAATAATAAATAAATAACGATTTACAGGTAGCACATCCACGTAGTGGTTCTTCGTCTACCCGATTCCTGGTCGAATTGAAATTTGGAAATTTTGGTTTTTGAGGAGAGGGGAAAACCGGAGTACCTGGAGAAAAACCTCTCGGAGCAAGGGAGAGAACCAACAAAAAACTCAACCCACATATGGCGTCGACGCCGGGATTTGAACCCGGGCCACATTGGTGGGAGACGAGTGCTCTCACCACTGTGCCACACTTACTCCCAAGAGCACGCGCTAATTTTGAGAGCGCACTACTCAGTCGATTGTCACCGTACTGTTTAAAAAAACGAGCAGGAGTTAATTATCACGTTTAAAAGCTCGAGGTGGAAACGAGGGTTTTTAAACCTGATAATACAAGACTGTGAGTTTTTTCAACGGCTTCAAAATCTCTGAAATAGATCAACTCATTCTTGTACAAATATATTATTTAGATTTGAGGTTATTTTGGTGTAAAAAATTGGACGTAAAGTTTAACCGTGTCTTTTTCAGATAAAAGACACTCATTAAACTTTTAAAATTTCTTTTGTCTTTTCTTTATGAATTTTTAATGAGTTTTTAAGTACTCGTTACACCGTGCCGGTTTGGTGTTTTAGTATATGTGACTTTGTATTGCGCTGATATTTTCTAAGAGTACACAATGATAAAATGTATTTGATATCCAACTTTTTACAGATCTGTTGGCGGTTGAACGGCTGTCGTTTCACGAGTTGTAAAAGCGCCAAGGATCGCACAGGCATGGGAATCACACTGGAACAGTGCATGATACTCAAACGAGAGCATAACATGGATTCACAGTTTTTTCAGCAGGCTTTGGACGCCATGAGAAGGTATTGTCAAGGGAATGTCTTGTCATGAGCTTGTTACGTTAACTTGGCCATGCATCTTTTCTCTAAGCTACCGTAAAATTCCGAAAATAAGCCCTTCCATGTATAAGCCCCTCCAAACATAAGCCCCCCAAACCGGTAACGCAATGAACCCTCCGTTAAATCGCCCCTCCAAATATAAGCCCCCCGGGGCCTTGTACTTGGAAAATTGCCCTCAAATACAAAGTGTAACAAAGCAAAAACGGTAAATTTACCTCCAACAATATGGCTAGCCCAATCGATTCCAAAAATAAGCCCCTCAAAAAGGGCCTTTGAAAAATATAAGCCCCGGAGCTTATTTTCGGAATTTTACGACAACTACCCGTTCAGAATAGCAAAAGCAAAATTTCAAATTTATTCTTGGAATTCGAGCAGCAAGTATCATTTATATGTTAAAAGTTTTGTTTATAGCCTTGTGGAGGTGCAGTAAGTTGTCTATATTCAACTTCTAGACTGTTCACAGTGCCCTATTTTTTCGTAAGATCGTGGAGATCGAGCGCTTATCGTTATGAGCGGCCATCTTGGTTTCGAATGTACAAAGAGGGTCGCCGTCGGGGTTAGCGGTGGATGAAGGCTATTTTTCTCTCCTCCTTTTACCCCAACCCCCGTCCGCTTGGTAGATTTAATACTCATCCCCAGGCTAGACTCGGTATTTTTGGTCACCCGTGAGGGGAGGTACTCGATCTCAACGATCTTTGAGTTTCTCGAATCTTTCGAAAACAGGGACTGTGAACAGTTAATCCAACTTCAAACTCTTTTCCTTTTTAGTGAAGGAACAAGACGAGAAAACACTTTCAAGAACACAGGAGTACGTAGTTATGCCTTCAACTCGTGGCAGGTCATGGCTCTTCCCAAACAATACCGACCTCCTAACGGAACTTACGGCAAAAATGTTCAGACATAAAACACCTTACGATGCAGGCTATATAATGGTAACCATGCGTCTCCTCAGTTCAGTACTGTGAGGCCAGACAAAAAATGGTCGTGAAGACTACTATCACGACGAGTCTCATACTTTATCTTTTATACATAATATATTTTTTGTTAAGGTGTTTTTGCACATGAACCCTTCCAATAGGGCTGTTTACGTACATAATTACCCAGGGAGTTAGGAGAAACGAAGATATGTTAGCAGTTAATATTATCCATAGCAAAATTTTAGCGATATTTTAAGCGCCTTGGTAATTAAAAATAGCGATTTTCAGTTACCATTTTTTTGGCTTAGTAGCCTGCGTGGTAAGCGTTTCCGTGTGGTTTCAGAGCAAAGAAAGACTCCGGCCGAGGAACGACGTGGAACGGGATTTTCTGTTTTGGCCGCGCGAAAGATAGAACGAGAGTGGCCTTTGACTCTCGTTCCTCGCTCTTTGCTCCGAAAGCGCACGGAAACACTTGCGTAAAATGTCTTACGTAATAAGGCAACAAATTTAGATGTGTAGTTTATGAACTTGTATAAAGAGTTAAACAAGGGAAATTCGTTCTCATTAGACAATCCACCAGTTATCCCCGCCCAAGAGAGTTGACCTCCTGTAGATATACCTTAGATAGTCCACAATTATTTTGTGTATACAGTGAAACCTCGATACATGTAAAAAGAAGGCTCAAGGGACTGGCAAAATTTGTTCGCTATAACGAGGTTTCGTTATATCGAGGTTCTTTTTCATTTACCATTACTAGGGTAAAGAAAATCGTTCGTCATTCCGAGGACGTCGTTATATGGAGGCACCAGTGTAACAACCTTTTATCACTACACTTTATTCATAAATTTTCACTTCTTAATATTCGCTTATTTTTCTGTACATAATGTTTTATTCTCGAAAATTTTATGACTGGAATTCGTGTATATTTTGATACCAGCGCGGTAACAAAAAAAATAGGCGGGGAAAAGTGTAGTTTACTTAGTTTGTAGTATAAGACTTGATCTAAGCCGTACAATTAGGCGTCATGCTCCAATCCGTGTATAATTGCGAGTAAGCTCTCTGGAAAATAAAGAAGTGGCACGGAGAGGGTGTATCCTTCTTTGTTTATTTGTTTTCCCTATGAACCTTAATTTCGTTAAGGATTTGAGAGAGAGCTGACAAATGATATTAAAGATTTTACAAAGCAAGTTATGCGCTACTATTGTAAGCGAAGATCGTATTTTAGTAAATCTTCACTAACTCCTCCAAGTACATTTTTGATACAGTAGAAGTGTATTTCGAGGATGCTTGGATTAGTTTAATTTTCTAACTGAAAAATCACTTTGCATTTTCAAATTAGCAAAGAATGTCAGATCAATTGAAATTTAATATAAGAAATTATATTAAGGAATAAAGAAAGAGTTATTTTGAAATGTCTGCGTGTTTACATAGGGAAAACAGCAGGCCCAGCAAGCTTGTTGAGAAAGTTGGGACAAGAGCAAAAAAGAGGAATGAAGAGTGAGGGGAGAGGAGAAAAGTTTTCTCTTCTTCCCTCCCCTCCCCCTTCTTCCATTTGTTGTTGTTGTTGTTGTAGCTGTTTTGCTATCAAACATACTTTCGTGCATTTACTTGATCAGAAACGTTTGTTATGCAGGCTAACGTAAGAGAAGAGTTCAACTACACAACAGGACTGGTTTGGGACAGCTACATAACCGCCGTTTCATTGTTTTGGGACACCAATATGGTGGACGTGATGTCACGTGAAAAGTAATATATTCTCACCCGGAACACCCACACTCAAAGCCATTATCCTAAATGCATAAGATATTGGAGAATCTGCCCAAGCAAGCAAGTTGGTGGACCAGAAGAGAATACGAGGTATGCCCCATCGCTGCGCGTAGGAAGGTGGGGCGAGAACTGCTATTGAGGGTGCTGAGACCTTTACTATCCTTTACTAGTATCCTTTACTATCCTATCCTTTACTAGAACTGGCTGAATAATCAAGCAGGCTGCTCTTTAAACTGAGGGACAAGGTCTGTGGGTATGCCGCGTATTCTCCCTGGCCACGCTGAGAATGTTAGGAAGTGCATTCATGCCATTTTAGGCTTTTGTGCGTGTTTTCCCCAGTAAGAATAGCATGTCCTTTTTTTTACTCCTAAAAACTGTCTTTACCAATTTTCCGATGTCTACTCTTACAACCTTGGAAACTCATCGTGATAAATAAATCTAAAATATACATGTTGTAAGTTTGCACACTGGAAGACATTATCGGCAAGACATGAGTACAAAGCAGTCTATTAATAGACCTTTCCGTTCTCCCATCCCTCCACAGGATCCATGCATTTAATATTCAAATTGACTTAATTAATTGTACATTCCGAAAATGATACTTACTGTTTAGTCAACATGTCTTTTTATCGCTTAGTAAATAATTATTTTTTGGTATGGTTCTGTTTGATTTGACCAAATGTTGGTGTAAAAATACTGCAAGAGTTATAGTCCTCCATGCAATACGATTTAAGAACCCTTGAAGGCAACCTAAAAAGTCCCCTCTGTTATCACACATTCCACCATTCATCATCGTCATCATCATCATCACCATCATCTTCATCAATACCTTCAAACAGTTTGTTAAAACAGGAACTATTTAAGGAATTAAAATGCTGATATGGATTACTGCGAGAAAGTGTTGACATGCACAACCAACAGAAATAGGAACGGCACTTAATACATGTCATTTTGTTACACCCATCTATCTTTTGAATGCTTGCACTACAACTTGGGCATTGTTTAGCATTTGAGAAGATCCACTTTTCCGACACGACTTCATCTACCATTTGTTGAAGCCGTCGCTTTCCAAAACGCTTTTCAAGAAACTCTCTTTCCTCACTAGAAGCAGTTGTGTACTCATCATGAAGTTTCTTTATGTCATCACTTTTGATTCGGCATGGTGACACACCATGATAAGCATGTTTACAAAACGCGCAAAATGCAAAGGAACAAGACGTGCAGATTCCCATTGATGACTCACTTTCCAGCATGACGGCAGTCTGACATGATGGGCGAGGACAGTAGACGATGTCCGACATTCCATCAAGACTATGCTGTAGCAAAAACCTGTCATACTTAGCAAATAACTCTGGACTAACAATTTCCTTCACTTGAGATGGAAGAGCCTGTGATTCACACTTTTCCCATGGGCAGTTCAGTGCCTGAACAGCCCCATCCTCGATTTGAACTTTAAAATAGTCAGCCATGCAGTCCACACAAAAAACATGACTGCAGTCATGAAATTCCATGCACAAGGACCCAGGTTTTTCACCAAAGCAAACATTACATGTAAAATAGCTACTGCTGAAGACCCTTTTACTCTCTTCTTTGTCATACTCCACTATAACATTGACTAAATTATAGCAGGAGGCCACATCCTGAAACGCTCTTTGATCTGCTTTTCTTCTTGCGTTGCCTTTTCCATGAGCTCTTCTAAATCGCAGTGGGAAAGGACTCTTCAAGTTCAGTGTTGTGAGAGTCTCATCAAGAAGAAATTGCAGCCACCGAAACATAACAACTTCTCCAATGCCATTTTCAGACCATATTTCATCCAGGTATTTGCAAAGTTTTGACAGCTGTCAAGAGCAAAGATAGAAAGGTAAAACAGTGATTCAAAACAATTTTAATGGTCCTATGTTTCTTGTTTTGTATTCTCACACTTTAATCACCTTTTACCTGCCTCTCTTTCCTCCCTCCTCCACTTTAATCATAATTTTCATGATTATCTAACTCGTTCTCATTTCAACTTGCATAAAATGTCCCTCAGGTATCAATTTGCGATTAGTTCCCAAGCCCCGACTATTTGGAACGATACCCCCTTGACTGTCCGTGACAGCCTTACCACTACTAACTTCAAAAAGAAACTAAAACTTCACTTTTAAGCCTAAATTGAACTAGCGCAGGATTCTCATAGCTTATTGTTAGTTTATTTGTCACTAGTTATGGACTGTTATAGGACTGTTATAGGAGTGCATGCATGTAAACTTTTTTAATTTCAGTTTTGTATCTTGTTTTAGTTTTGTATTTTAGTCTACTGCCCTACAGTCTTCATTTCTATATAAAATAATTTCTGTCATTCTGACCACAGGCCGTATAAGCCCCCGGCTTTGGCTTTACTGAGTTTTTACTATATGAGCGATGGAATAATAAAGTTAAGTTAAGTTAAGTTAAGTTAAGGACTGTCAAGAAGGACGAGGAGGACAAAGGCCCCTCTCTCTTCCTGTCAGCTAGGTTTGGAAAATATCGTAGTCTTACTCAAAGAACAATGATAAAAAGTAAGAAGATGAGTAAACAATGAAGCAGCCTCGAGAAAACGCTGGCGTGCTGTTAAAAGTTTATTTTTCCAAAGCGTTTGACGAAAGGACAGCTGTTGTCAGATTGGTAACAGATCTACCAAGAAAGCGCGAAAAAAAAGTAGACTATTATCTTACCTGAAACACCGTCAGCCACTTACACGATAAAGTAAATAATGGAGGGCTCCTGGAAGGATAGTCCTTCGGGAATCTGAAGTTCAGCACGATAGGAGGAAGGTACTGCACCTCAAGAACGTCTTGGTCATCATTCGAAGCTCCTTGATCATTCGTTCGATTCTTCCGCTTCTTTAGTTCTTTTGGCAAATACCTCGACTGTATTTTCAGTTGGAAAGGCTTTGGTAAGTCTAGAAAAATATTGAGTTGTCCTCCTTTTTCCTCGGAAGATTGAATAAAAATTCGCTCGTCGTAAATCGATGCCAAAGCAAGTAATTCGTCTTCTTGACCTTCGTCATCCGCCATCTTGAAAACTGCTTGTGCAACACTCTTCACCAGTCTTTTGCAACCAGGCTAGGCTCTAGGCCTTTCCTGATGATTGTGCTCGACAACTTTTGAGCAACTTTTTGCGGTTCTAGCAACCTCGAGAAAATTTTGCCTTTCTGAGTAACTTTTGAGCAAAATATAGGTTTAGAACACATGTCAAGCACGAAAAAGTCAACGATTTCATAGAAAACTTCAACTTTTAAATTTTTAAGTTTTTTAAATTTTTATTGTTTTTTTTTCTTGACCGATGAAGAACGAAAAATATAGCTTTTAATTAACGTTAATATAAAATTATCAACAAATTTACGTGGCAACTTTTGAAACTTAGGTAGTAACTTTTTCGATTTTGAAAATTTTTTAGCAACTTTCTGGCATTCCAGTGAGCAACTTTCCAGCATTTTACGAGCACAATCGGGAAAGGCCTAATCCTGGCCTTTTTGTTTTTGTTGGCTTGTTTATTTTTGGCTAGAAGCCCGTAATTTAGACCATTCGCTCTTTCGCTTAAATACTTACCTAATGAAACTGAGGGAACCATCTAAGTCCCAAGCTTGTCCATCCTTCCTCCCCTGCCACAAATTCCCCAGGGTGCACAATGGGATGACCTGGTGATGAGCATGCTTTGCCTTATGGAACTTACTGAACCACTCAAGTGCCCGGTGATATTCCGTAGCGGTGAAGCCAGTTTATGGTCCGACATAATCTTATGGTCCAATACTGAATTTGTTTACTCCCCAGGGCGTAAACCAACTAACCACGATAAAGACAAGCCACGCGAAAGACTTCGTAAACGCTAAAAGCCATGCAAGAGAGAAACCACTACTCGTAGGAAAATCATTCAGGGACATGGTCTGTTGAAAGATAAAAGCAGAAAATATCTTTACAATCAATCAAAATGATGTCGAAATGAAGTGTAGTTTACTCCGGGAGTGTACAGCATAACTGTTTAAGAACTTACAAGATTTTCAAACATCATCATGTAATTTCCATGGTTTATTAATTCAATCATAAAGTGACGCCCAATCATAAAATGGGCACGAGGGGGCCTTCGTTTTATGATTGAGCGTTGCCCTCACAGGCATTCTCATAGGCCGCCCAATAATTTAGATAGGTTAGAAGAGGTACGATAGCGTGAGTTATTTTTATTTCTATTTTTGTCAAAAAAAGACGTATTTTGTTTATTTTCGTACATTCTCTTATAAATTCAAAGTCAAACGAACTCCCACAGAGTCTGGGTGATATTCACAAAGCGAAACGAAAATAGAGCCTGATCTCAGGTTATTAAATCACGGTGCAATTCAATCCCGGAAGGAATTTATGGTCCAATTTATGGAAAAGAAAAATCGTAATCTTCTATCTAGTCAGTTCAGTTAACGAGAGGAAGCCAAAAGGTATTGAAGAACATGATTGGTTAAGGGCGTTTTAAGGTCGCTCTTAATGCCTCAAAGTAGAAAAATTTGCCAAATTAACCGAGACCATAAGTAACAAATAAATAACTCCCGGAGGGCGGCCGGTACGTGATTTGTGGATGCACAAAGTGCTGAGAACAATAGAAAGCAAGATCATGATAAATGAGCGTGCAACTGAATGTGTTCAACACAGTGTGAAGAGAAGCTGAACGAAACTTTTTTCCGTTGGAGCTCTTGACGATAAGCCATCATCATCATCATGTCCTGTGCTATTGATGAAGGAACCTACATCATTGAAAATGTCGAGACAGAACGCTACCTGTTTCAAGATGGAGAGAAGATTAAGGGCAACCGAGGAGATGAAGGTGGTTGGTTAGCCTCTTCTGGATTTCAAGCGCCTCCTGTGTTGGGAGCTGATGCAAATTATTACAATCGTGCCTACTGGAAGATCATTCCTCAAGGCGATGACAGGTACTTTGTTGAAAACGTGGAAACCAAGAGGTACCTGTTTCAAGATGGAGAGAAGATTAAAGGCGAGCGAGGAGACGAAGGTGGTTGGTTAGCCTCATCTGGCTTTCAAGCGCCTCCTGTGTTGGGAGCTGATGCCAATTACTACAATCGTGCCTACTGGAAGATCATTCCACAAGGCGATGGCAAGTACTTTTTTGAGAATACTGAGACGCAAAGATATCTCTTTCAAGATGGAGAGAAGATTAAAGGCAAACGAGGAGACGAAGGTGGGTGGTTAGCCTCATCTGGCTTTCAAGCACCTCCTGCCTTGGGAGCTGATGCCAATTACTACAATCGTGCTTATTGGAAACTCCACAAGCAATAGACTGACGACAACAAAATGTCAAGTCGCGAATTTTCCCTTGAAACTGTCTGATTTTTTGCTAGCTTTTTTGTAGGCTTTTAACCAACTAATTAGTATGCCGTTGGTTTTGAAAAATGTAATTCGTTCAAGGTTTTGAAAGTATACTTATTTCATTGCTATGTAAAAAACCAGCAGCAACTTTCTCAGTCAACTACATTGCAATATTTGATAGATTGATCGTTGAATAGTTTACATTTGCAAAGCGACAATACAGTTATATGCATGCTTTTCTCAGTATGTCAGTTGGACATCATTTTAAGGTCTTTCAAGCATGTTAATTACTGCCACTGCCTGTTATAGAAGTAAATACAGAAAATGCATTTGAACTACCTTGACTGATTTCTTTGTACGGTAACCTCCATTTTCTCTGGAATGCAGTAATTTTGTTCCTACACTTTGACTGTCATGATCAGTGACTTTTGCTTCCTCAGTTCTGTTTAAAGAAACATCCCAAATAAATCCTGTTTTCGAAAAAAATGCTTAGTGAAGCGTAAGGGGCCTTGTTAATTGGTGAAAGAAAAACGTAGAGAAAACGCCGGGGCCGAGCCTCCCAGTATGAAACTTTGCTGAGTGCCCTCCTGGGCGCCCGGTTTAATTTGTTATACTGTGTTGAATACTCCACTCGCATAGCGCCCATAGCACTAGGGGGTTGTGACCTTTATTAATCACAATAATTCACAAAGAAATTTGAATTCGGCCTGGTAATAAGAGCCAAAGAACGAAGAGCCAAGGGCAGAAGTGTTGACTTTTGGTTGGCGCTGCGGTCGATGACTGAAGAACAAAGAGGCGTTCTGAGTGTTTTCACATGACGTCATGGCGGCCATGTAGATGTTTCAAACCAATCCTGTGAACAAATATTAATGCTTTGGGAGTTGATTGTTTCGCTTTCTATTGTTCCAGTGAATTTGCATAGATGCTGGCCACGTGAGTGAAAACGCTCTTCATCACGTGCGCGACTTCCAGTAAAAACCCGCAAGTAAGACAGCAGAATAAGAACCTGCAATTTCCCAAATTAGCCTAAACTGGTTCTTGCACTACTCGTAATAAACTTAAATTTAGGCTATTTCGGTTGAATTCTTAAATAGGTTCTTGTTTTACTGGAAAATTACATTGCAGATACGGTCTAATAGCATTAAGTGGTATTCAGCCTATTCTTAAATTTTATGAAATCTCCATTACCAAATAAGAATTTGATATTCAACATTGGCATTTACATTGAAGTTGGAGTGACAGGGCGAGTGTGTCTCCTAAACGGTTCCTAAATGTTGACTTATCTTACGGTAAATCTTCTATTAAGCCCCACCCTCTCAAATACTCCCCCCCTCTCTAAAAAGCCCCCCCTTCCTCCCCGCCCCTCTTCAGGGGATGAAAGTTAATATTCCACATCCCTTAATCGTTCTTCACTAATAAATGATAGACTGTATCAATCACGACTGTAAAACTTTGTGTGGACTGATCCGGGATGGTTTTTTCACCAAACAGAAGTTAGCTGCATGACCTCCAACTTCTTGTACTTGAGCTTTTCCACTTTGTGTTCTAGTTCTTTATGGAGAACTAATACCATCGTCTTTTCTAAATAAAATAAGCCCCCCCCCCCTTCCCCCTCAAATGGGCTTGAAATAAATAAGCCCCCCGAGGGACTTACTAGAGGACTTACGGTGTTCGTCCATGGGTACATTTTTATGATTTAAGAAACTAAGAGCCTGTTTAAAATTTTGGGCTCAACAGGTTGTTATAAAGATGGGATCAAGATGTCACATTTTAGCCTAATAGGTTCTTTAGCAGTGAGGTTCGGTTTACTTGCGGAGTTTTTAATGTAATCTTATATCAGAAGGAACTTGCGGAAGGCGTAAGTATGGTGGCCGACAGCACGAAAAGATAAAGAGCAAAACAAAAGCTCAAAAAAGAAACAAAAAATGACAATACGTACATAGCCTGCCTGTTTTATATTTTGGGTTTCTGTTTTTGGACTTTTGCGATTTTGATTCTGTTTCCTATTCATGTTTATGTTTTGTTTTGTTTTGTTTTGCTTTTTGTTCTTCCTTGTCCAGAAATATGAATCTTGGCAGCAATTTTATGTAATGCCCCCCCTCTTGTTTTGCAGCCCCCCCTCCTGATAATTATTGCACAGTCCCTAAACGCTAAAAGCCATGCAAGAGAGAAACCACTACTCGCAGGAGAATCATTCAGGGACATGGTCTGTTGAAAGATAAAAGCAAAAAATATCTTTACAATCAATCAAAATGATGTCAAAATGAAGTGTAGTTTACTCCGGGAGTGTACAGCAAAACTGTTTAAGAACTTAAAAGATTTTCAAACATCATCATGTAATTTCCATGGTTTATTAATTCAATCATAAAGTGACGCCCAATCATAAAATGGGCACGAGGGGGCCTTCATTTTATGATTGGGCGTTGCCCTCACAGGCATTCTCATAGGCCGCCCAATAATTTAGATAGGTTAGAAGAGGCACGATAGCGCTACTATTTATAGACCCGAACCTGAGACAAACAAACTGAGCGAATTCATCACTTTTGTTTGACTTTTGTCATTAAAATGTCATGTTTGTCTGTCTTTTGTCATTAAAATAAGAAAAATGACAAAGCACAGACCACAGGTGGTCCAGACTCTGAGTGAGTTCGTTATACGTCCTCAAGTTCCATTTTTTGACAAAAATAGGAAGAAAAAAGACTCACCTTGTGTTTTTGTTTTGTTATTTACTGCTTGTCTCTTTGCTTCTAGAGCCATTTGGAACGTCGATAAAACGGCTTCCACATGGCTCTTGAAGCAAAGTAACTAGCAGTAAATAACAAAACAAAAACACAGTGTGAGTTATTTTTATTTCTATTTTTGTCAAAAAAAGACGTATCTTGTTTATTTTCGTACATTCTCTTATAAATTCAAAGTCAAACGAACTCCCACAGAGTCTGAGTGATATTCACAAAGCGAAACGAAAATAGAGCCTGATCTCAGGTTATTAAATCACGGTACAATTCAATCCCGAAAGGAATTTATAGTCCAATTTATGGAAAAGAAAAATCGTAATCTTATATCTAGTCAGTTCAGTTAACGAGAGGAAGCCAAAAGGTATTGAAGAACATGATTGGTTAAGGTCGCTCTTAATGCCTCAAAGTAGAAATACTGAGACGCAAAGATATCTCTTTCAAGATGGGGAAAAGATTAAAGGCAAGCGAGGAGACGAAGGTGGGTGGTTAGCCTCATCTGGCTTTCAAGCATCTCCTGCCTTGGGAGCTGATGCCAATTACTACAATCGTGCTTATTGGAAACTCCACAAGCAATAGACTGACGACAACAAAATGTCAAGTCGCGAATTTTCCCTTGAAACTGTCTAATTTTTTGCTTGCTTTTTTGTAGGCTTTTAACCAACTAATTAGTATGCCGTTGGTTTTGAAAAATGTAATTCGTTCAAGGTTTTGAAAGTATACTTATTTCATTGCTATGTAAAAAAAACAGCAGCAACTTTGTCAGTCAACTACATTGCAATATTTGATTGTTGAATAGTTTGCATTTGCAAAACGACAACACAGTTATTTGCATGCTTTTATCAGTATGTCAGTTGGACATCATTTTAAGGTCTTTCAAGCATGTTAATTACTGCCACTGCCTGTTATGGAAGTAAATACAGAAAATGTATTTGAACTACCTTGAATGATTTCCTTGTACTCACCCTCCATTTTCTCTGGAATGCAGTAATTTTGTTCCTACACTTTGACTGTCATGATCAGTGACTTTTGCTTCCTCAGTTCTATTTAAAGAAACATCCCAAATAAATCCTGTTTTCGAAAAAAATGCTTAGTGAAGCGTAAGGGGCCTTGTTAGTTGGTGAAAGAAAAACGTAGAGAAAACGCCGGGGCCGAGCCTCCCAGCATGAAACTTTGCTGAGTGCCCTCCTGGGCGCCCGGTTTGTTATACTGTGTTGAATACTCCTTTCGCATAGCGCCCATAGCACTAGGGGGTTGTAACCTTTATTAATCACAATAATTCACAAAGAAACTTGAATTCGGCCTGGTAAGAGCCAAGGAACGAAGAGCCAAGGGCAGAAGTGTTTGACTTTTGGTTGGCGCTGCGGTCGATGACTGAAGAGCGGTAAGGCTTAGAACATGCGGGTTGAAGAGGAAATGACATACTCTATGCCGAAGTAAGAAGACTAGAGAATGTGTCATAAGATTCGTTTACAGAATCAATGGAATAGACTGAAGAACAGTCGACATCTTCCAGTTTAGGCCTGAATGCTGACATAGTTGTTGAGTTAATAAGACGTACAAATCTCTTTTGGCGTGGTGGCTCAACAATCATTTTCAAGTGGGTAACTTGAAAAACTAGGAGGTGATCAGATAAGTCAGTGTAAAGAATGCCACTATTCATGTTAAGTTCAAGATTGTTTGTAAATATGTTGTCAATCAGAGTTGCAGTTGAGGAAGTTATGCGAGTTGGTTTGGAGATCAAATGATAGAGGCTATTAGATGTCATAAGATTAATGAACTCATTTGTAGGTTGATGAGAATGAGAGTTGAGGATGTTGATATTAAAATCACCCATAACATAAGATAGCTTATTCTCAAAACTAATGGCTGACAAGATATCTTCGAAAGACCTGTTTAAGTCATTAAGAGAGGCATCGTTAGGTCTATAGAGGCAGCCAACAATAATATTTTTACCATGAGGTCGCATGATTTCCACAAAGACTGATTCGTACAATGAATTGTCAGAAGATTGAAGATCAATCCTAGGCTTAAATTCATATCAGATTGAATGTAAAGACCAACTCCACCACCTAATTTATGTTCTCTTGAATTGGAGATAAAATGGTAGCCAGGAATATTAAAGAAATCAGAATTAGACTTATGTAACCAGGTTTAAGAAACGGCAATAACAGAGAACAACATATTAAGTGAAAGATGATATTCCGACAGGTCGTGAAAGTGTTTAGGGGGGCTCCGGATATTAATATGGAAAGCAGAAAATGCACCAGGAGGAAAAGGAATTTTGCTTGTATTAATTCAACCGAATTTGCAAACGAATTCACAACTGAAGATGATCGTTGAACGATCGAAACATGTCTTGTTTTAAACTTAAAGTTGTTATTGATAACTTTTCACGT